TATATATATATATATATATATATATATATATATATATATATATAATTAAAACGGAACAGTAGAGAAAATCCGATCAGAATGACAAAATAAACAACTAAGTATCCACTGGAAGGAATCCCAATATCTGCAGACGGATCCGATTCGGCCTTCCAGGACTCATCAGTGCAGCTGGGGTATAGACCCAAAAGAAACGTTTGACCAGCTTAGGAAGGGCCCAAACCAGTCCCACTACCACTAATGATTACAGAGCCAAACCAAGGCAATATATGTTTTTATATATATATATATATATATATAATGTAAAAACAATAGAAAAACGATGTACAATCATTATCAACGTCGAAGTAAGGAAACTTGGGAGATCTTATATACATAGAGAATAATAAATGGTATTAACCAATCAAAAGCAAGTTAAAGATACAATCGGTTGATTGAACCACAGAATGAAAGTTCGGTGAGTTAATGAGCGGATTAATTACAGTTTCACCATGATAAGATAAAGATAGCAGGAGCTATCGAAATATCCGTTTGATTTTGTTATATTTTAATAAATTTGTGTTCCGCAAGTCAACCTTCAATGATTGTATATTGTACATCGTTTTTTCATTGTTTTTACATTTTATTTCAATTAGAGCATACATGCAAATTCACTCTTATATATAGGCCTATATTTAAATATATAAGCCTATATATTATATATATAATATATATATATAATATATATATAATATATAGGCCTATATATTTAATATTATTATTATTATTATTACTATCATTATTAATATTATTAATATTATTATTATTATTGTTATCAACATCAATCAAATATTTGGATAACAAGATAAAACAAGGAGTTAATGGGTCAAATAATGCGGTTCAATATCATGTAACGCATTATGTTGAACTTTTAGTAAAGTTGACGGGTTTGATTAGCTTTGAAACGCAAAGTACAGCGCATCATGACGAAGAAATCCCAGATTCACTGAACTGTAAACAGAAAAAAAGCAAAAGTTAATAAACAACCCAGTGACACATGACCAGAGGATGTTGTATCGTATGTGGTAAAGATTAACCTTCATTAAATCATTCCGATATTTCATTGTTTATATTCTGTACACGCCATTTTGGTAGGCATATGTCAGCAGTATAGCTAGTATAGACTAGGAATAATATAGGCCTAAAATATTCAGGCCTAAGGACAAGTCGTTTTTTTATAACTTTTTGTGCACTGGACTGGCAGACTGGCCTACCACCACCACCATCCATCAAAGTTAGGTTTGGGCATAGCTAGCTAGCCCAGGCCTAGTCTAGGGCCTAGGCCTCCCAGTACTAGTAGTAGGTAACTAATAGTAAGGCTACTTGTTGTCTGTGTTTGTTTAGTGGTGGTGGTTGTGTCTTCCCAAACAGTTCTGTGTCGTCATAAGCCTAGAACTATAAATTCGGACCGTCCGCCCATTTTGGAAAATAAGGGCCGGTTTCCTCCTGTCTGTGCAGATTTTGCATAAAATTAGGCGGTGACCTTTAAAACTGGCCAATGTTATGCAGTAGTTAGGATCCTGCACAGCTATTTTCCATGTGATTTTCTAGCAAATTTGAGTTTTTGCGCTAGTATCATTTGCGAAATTAAAATACTTTACAGCATAGGCAGAGGAAAGGTAGGGATGAGTACGACCCACCCATCCTATACCCAGGGAGTTGTTAATTAGATAGACTAATTAACAACTCCCTGCTATACCTTATTACTACATTTCTTTTGATTTTATTAAAAATTAGAATTATGGAGAGTGAAAAGTCTGAAGTAGAAGTAAATTTGATGAAACCAGAAAATGTAAATCAATCTGGAAAAGAAAAAAATAAAGAACTAACTAGTGAGAATGATTTATACAAAAATGAAATAAGTACTGGGTTGAAGTCAGAAGACAGTTTAAAGTTGAACAGAGAGGACATTGGGAAAAAAGTTGCCCAGCTCAAAGAGGTTTCGAAGTTAGAAAACCAACTTGATCTTAAAAGGATTGGTACCAAGAATAATGAACATGAAATAAAAAGTCATCACAATTTAGAAAAGAGAACCAGGAAAAAAAGTGAAGATGTGCTACCAGACGCTCCTTCTCTGTTGCAACCTTTTGGTGGTGTGGAAGATGAAGACATGACAGTAAAGAATGCAGATCCATTGGATAATCAAAATGAAGATACTTTAGTAACATTAAGAAAATGCACAGAGAGTACAGAAATAAGTGTTAATATACCTAAAAAAGAGGATGGACCAATGCCTGTTGAAGATGCAGAGATCTTGGAAAATTTAGATAGCAGTAAACAAACAGATGTTGCTAAAGAATGCAATCATGGCACAATATGGCATCCCCTTCTTGCGTCAGAAAATGAAGAGGCAGCTACAGAAAAGGAAATAAAAAAGGAAGTTGTCAAAAAAACAGATGGCAATGGTAGTGGTGGAGAGACAATTGACATTAGAAGAAAGGAACTAGAAGAGAACTCTAAAACACCATCACCAGATGGTGATGTCAAAGACCAGGAACCAGAAGGCGCTTTCTCGGCAGATACAAAAGATGTAGAAAAAAAAAAGAAAGAGAAAACACCTCTTGTTGAGTTGGCAGAGAAAGGTATGGGAATTTCGGACATCTTGACAGAAACTGGAGTGTTTGCGTACATATCCTTGGTAGCTATTGCCTTGGCGACTACATTTGACAGTCACTGGCACAAGTAAGTTTGAGTTTCCTTGTATTACACATCCTTCAGCCAGAATCCCAATTAAAAATGTTATTGCTTTTTTTTTTTTCATTTTATATCTCAGCAATAGGCCATGGCTGCCCAAGATCAAGGGTGTAAGAATGTTTATTTATTTTTTTAAATTTATTTCTGTCTTTTGTGTGATAACACTTTCAGTGACGTAGCACTGGTATCACAAGTGAATCACAAGTAAGAAGAATAAAAGTGTTTAAGGTGTAGGGTCGGAGAAGCTAGCGCAGTCGGCGAAACTGGTGGTAGCCACTGTGTATGCGCTGAAGCGTGGAGATTTCTTAGTCTACGGTTCAATTCCCATATCTGCTTTATGTCTGTTTCAGCTGGAGGGTTGAAATGCTCAAAATGTTCAAAAATGCACTGTCTTTCGGATGAGATGCTTAAGTCGTTGGTCCCTCGTGGAAAATGGGCCATGTGCATAATGTGCGTCAAAGAACGCAACCAAACTCTTCAGAAAAGAGTTTTTCCCCAGTGTACTGCCCAATTCACCACCAGAAGAATCCCACTGGAAAAAGTTTCAGGACTTTCGTGGGTTATCCTTGGTGTGTATCTGACCAATGAAATGCAATTGAGAATAAATACTGGGCTAAGGATATTGGGCTAAGGATCCTTCGCATTAAGTCTACTCATCATAATTATCTTTTAATGACTACTAGTTACTCAGCCATTCAGAGAAAAAACTGAGGAATAGTCAAAAACTTTTAGGGATGGGAGGTGAAAGTTGCTGAATTGGGGATTGGAATATTGGGAAGTTTTAAAAGTTTGATGTAAATTAGTTTAAATCAAGTTTTATTAATTATTATTAAATACAGTTTTATTATTATTATTATTATTATTATTATTATTATTATTGTTATTATTATTGTGGTTATATTCTTGATTTCATTGTTTTTTTCTTTTAAGGAATTGGAAAGATTCTTACATAAAGTTATTATGCAAACACTTAAAAACAAAGAGAGGAATCGAAAAGACTATGCTACAGTTCCTCCGTGAAGATCTAAAACCATTACACGCTCACGCCTACGTGGAAGTACTGAAAGATGATGGGATGATCCAAGACAATCCCAGCATTATTGCACAGGTCAGTTAGATGGTTCAAGCTTTTAAAACATTCTCAAGAAATAATGAACAAACATCTTTATTCAAACATAAATCCATAATAAATGATCAAAGTGTTGCCTTCTTTTTTGACATGTAAAGATACAAGAAAATTTGATTTATCCTCATATAAAAAAAAAAACAAACAAGTTTTGGTTGTACAGCTTTTCAAATTTAAAAACATGAATATTAAAAATGACACAAAATTCCAAATTGCAAGGACATACAGTGCATCATAGACAGCAAGACCAAGTATAATAAAAGGAATATTTAGCAATAAAAAGTTAACATTAAAACCTGTTGTAGTAAAGCCTTGTTTCCTTAAAATCGCTACACTGTCGCTACAGTGTTTTCAGTGCAACCGTACTGTATAGCAGTCCCTGACGCAATCGGAGAAAGGTCCCCGATTTGACCGAACTCTTGAGTTATGCATCTGATTAGAGTTTGGCACAAATGAGTTTCTGTAACGACAGTGCAGTGTAAGTGGTGGGCAGAGTCCAATTCCAGATCTATTTAAGTTGACAACTGTGTAGGAATGGGTAGAGAGAAAGCAAAAATCTTGCAGGAACTAACCCTTCTCCCACAGTTGTCTCCCAGAGTCCCAAAAAAATCAGCTCTGGTAATGGGTATCACCAGGTGCAACAAAATAAACATTATGTGTATTAAGAAAGCTCTTGTTTGTAACCAGATCTCTCTTGGCTTCTTCCAACTGGAGACCCCTGTTATAATGTGTAAGCACTTTGAGACATTCCGTGGAAAGCACAAAAATAGAAACCGCAAAAACTATTAAAATAAATTTAGATACCTGGAGATTTGTACCTAGTAGTACCTTTTCCACTAGGCGAATTTATTCGCACAAATCGAAAGCGTCAGTTCTTACGCATGCGCATTTACATTTCTATTGGAGTTTTTTGCAAAATCAGAAGTTTGGACTGTTTCTACTTTTTGCGAAGCGAAAAAAATGCTCAACCAATCAGAGCTCAGGAAGCGAACCAACGTTTTTGATTCGTGCAAATATATTTGCCTAATGGAAAACAGGTTTTACATGGTATTTTGATATTCAATCACTTTATATACTTTGAGGAAGTAAAAACTGATCTGTGAAAGAGGAAAGTCATACAAATATGATACAGAGAATATTTAGTTTCTACTTCCTGATCTTCTAAGGACCTTCTTGGTATCACCATGGAAACAGGAGATTATGATGCAAGGTCAAGGGTTATCATCTACCATATTGCCAAGCTGATGGAAGTGCCAAGGACGGATGTCATCAGCTTTGAAGACATGATTGTGGAGAGTTTTGTGCAAGAGGAAGTGATAGAATCCGAGTAAGAAAGCTTGTTATTTACATGGGTGTGGGCTGGGGGTTCAATTTTCGCACCCCCCCCCCCACCTTTGAGTTCCGCACACTCTCAAATTTTGCAACCAAACCCCCACCCCCGTCACTCTTCCATCGCATGATGAAACCAGCATACACCCCTGATTTAAAACTTTAAAACTACATTTTTATGTCAAGTTGCCAAATATTTGTTTTGTACTTGAGTGTTTCGTTTGTTTAGCTCATCAAATTTTTCTGGGAGCATGTGTCCGCCTCCGCTCACCAAACCCCCTTGCACCACCATGCCTTAGATACCCACTAGTTAGAGCAGTGGCTGTGTTTCAGCATTTTGAACTACAGGTTGGGTTTTGGTTTACACTTTGAACACATGTTTGTGTCCTTTTGGATTTTTTTTTACATTGGTATTTTTTTTCTCCCCGGATTATAATGGGATACCTGCTGCAACCATATGGGGTACGCATCCCAGGCAGTGTAGATGTAGGATTTACCAAATAGTGGTGAGGGTCAAAGCTGGCATGTCAAACAGGGTCAAGAAGTAAGGCACTGTGGGGTCTAGCAAGCTAGGCCCTTTGCGCTTAGAAAAACTTGGTAATTTTGCCCATTTTAAGGTGTTCTAGGACATTGTAGCGCTCCCACCAGCACCACCACTGTCCCCAGCAAGCTGAAGTATTTGATCAAATGACAGGCCTTGGTGTGATGCACTAATATTAAGCCCTGTCCAGACTAGCAAATTTTATTTGACAAAAACATGTGGCATGCCAAAATATAGTCATGATGACATCACATCATGACCATATATAGGCACATCATGACTATATATGGGCATACAACAGTTTTTTGTGAAAGAAATTTTAATAAATCTGGGAAGAGCTTAAGACTAACATAATATACTTTCATGTAGTTTATTGTAGCAAAATAAAAAAAACCCCAATATTCTAGACAAAAATAGGAATGGAAATTCAGTCAATGATGTGTTTTATTTCCTTCAAATTCAGAGAGCAGAAATCAGAGAAAGCAAAGCGCTCAAGACAGACCAAGGTGAAGAGATACCTAGCTATTGGAGCAGCAACTCTAGGGGGCGGTGCACTCATTGGTGAGTTTTTACGTACAGCAAGATAGAGCGTAATAATTATAATACAGTTCTTCTAATTAAAGGAACTTTGTAATTAAATAAATTTATAATTAAAGAGAAATGCTGCTAAATGCAATGAAAACCCGAGTCCTAATGTGTATTAAGATAATGGAATTGCACATGTTTGTATTTTCAGGCCTAACTGGGGGTCTTGCTGCTCCCCTAGTTGCTTCAGCTGGAGTGGCATTGTTTGGCTCTGGTGCAGCTTTCCTCGGCACCACAGCTGGCCTAGCCATTATGGCATCAATGTTCGGTGCTGCTGGTGCAGGCCTTGGCGGTAGGTTTATTTGATATCTTTAATCATGATGTCATGTGATTTAATATACTCTAACAACAGTGGAATGTCTAGATTGTCACCATTACCATACTTTTTCATCATATGATCAGAATCAGATTATTTTTTAAAGTATATAATTATTTTAATTATTTGTCATTTAGTTTTTTAATGGCTATTTCAAATTTCTACTGTTGCTTAAATACCATCATAGGTTACAAAATGAAGCGAAGAGTTGGTGCCATCGAAGAGTTTGAGTTTACCTCGCTGGGGAAAGAGAAAGATCTACATGTGGTCGTGGCAGTATCTGGCTGGCTAACCAAAGATAGATTAGGTAAGCCTAAACTACACATTCAATGTACTGCTCCAGAAATTAATCTAAAACACTTTTTAAGAATAATTTTAATTAAAAGTGAAGGGGAAATAGCAAAAGCTATTCTAGCAAACGTTAATTATGATAATTTATGCAAAATTCTAAATTATTAGTGCAAAATAGGTGAGTTGAAAGCATGTCGCACACCAGCGAAGACGTCTTCTGTTTTGGACAACCAACAATGTATTCTTGGCCACCTTTAGGATGACAGTTTGGCCAGCCTGGCCCTGTGGAATCTTGGAATCTGCATCTAATATGTAATAAATATCAAAGTAAATTCTCAGGTTTTCTATCAATTTAGTGTAGCAACTCCTGGCTATGTGTAATTGCATCCTCCTACTTTATGTGCTGAAGACTCATTTCAAATCCAGCCAGCGTCCAGTTTTAATTGGAGTCTGATAGCTTGGCTACTTGAATATCCTTCACATGAGAGTTAGGATGAGGAACAAGCTATTTTTTATGTGTAGGTACTAGCGCTGCACTGTGGCTGCGTGTTTGTCCAGGACCAGCCAGAATAAATGCGCCATAAGCATGCCATGGTAGATACTAGCACAAAACTAATGTAAATTATTATTTTACATAATTTATAGCTGCCAACTTTCTTGGTGTCTGAAGCGCGAAACAGAAAAAAATATTAAAATTTGTATATAGCGGGCTCTATGTAGTAATCACGAAATAGAGCGCCCTCTGTATTCTTTTTTTGTTATTATAGTGGGACTACTGTTGATTATAGTCCTCGGTCGGTAAAGCTTCATTGAAAGAAATTTATATGGCCTGTATTCGCAGTTTAATGACGAATTCCTTTAATTTTTATGAATTTTAGAGTATATCAGCCTATACATTTTATCTTATGTGCGAGAATGAATGAATAATACAGCGTAGGCGTGAGACGTAAAAAGTGGATGCTCATGCGTGAGAGAGTTGGCAGGTGTCCATTATAAGTCTACATCATACTCCGTGTGTGTAGTTCATCACTAATGGTATTTATTGCCTTCACTGTTCAGCTGTCGTGGAGAGAATAAAGCATTGATCCTTCATGTCAAAAGCATTTTATCCTTTTGAAAGTCAACTATGAATGTGAAAGTTAAATCTAAAAATTAATTAGGCCTATAAACCTATTGCTTTGATATGAGGCATGGCATCATATTTTATACCAAACTGAGTGGCCTAAGTTTCATTTTATTTTCACTCCCTGTACTGTATATATTTCCTCTCTAAACAGGTCATGAGCTCGATTCCAGTGGTGGTGCTTGTAACTTTACATGTTCTTGGGCAAGACATATTCTGTGTTGCCTGTACCCTCCCAGCATTATAAATGGGTACCTGGTAATAGGTAGGATGGGAAATTTTGAATGGAATTTGGTGCTGAGTTAGGTGCATTACTTCTCCCGGGATTACTGTACTTCCGGAATTACCCCCAAGGAGCAGAGAAGGTTGCGCAACTTGCGAAGCTGTTGATTTTTAACCATCTGTGTCTCGGATTAGTTTCTTAGATAGGATTGGGTTAATAATATCCTTATCTTTATTATTAATATCATTGTTGTCATCATATTTTAGCCAAATTTTTAACATTTTAACTTTTACAATTTTAACCTTTATCTTGGTTTACATGTAATTTTGACATTTGGTGGAGAATTTGTAGCCAACTACTGTATGTGCCATGGTTTCCCTTGCAGATTCCTAAGAACAGTGCTGGGTTAATAATATCGTTATCATTATTAATGTCATCATTGTCGTTGTGATTGATCATCATCATTATTATTATCGTCATCATCATTATCTACATTTTTTTATTATATTATGCAGAAACTTTTTCTAATTTTTGGGGGTATGATTTTATTGTGGTTAACATGCATGTATCTTTAATATTTGGTGGTATATTATTTGTAGACAACTTTACCGTGCCATGGCTAGCCCTCGCGGAGTCCAAGGAGCAGTACACACTTAAGTGGGAGTCTAAGTACCTAAAGAACCTTGGCGATGGACTGGAGTACATCATGGACAGCGTGATGACGATGGCAGCGAAAGAAGCACTGAAGTACACTGTACTGGCGGGTAAGAGATTTGGTGTGGAGGGTGGGTAAATGTTATTTGGAGTGGTTGCAAGGTAGTGGGAAGTAAAGTAAGAGGGAGCCTTGAGTACGGTATGAATCTTGTGGATGATCTGTAGAGCATACTGGATACTGTGAATACGTTGGCAGCATATGTGATATACACTGCTCTGGCATGTACAGTAAGTGGTGATTAGAGAAGCGATTACAGGGTGTAGGGGGTAAATTTTACAGGAACAGGATTCTTAAGTACAGTACCATAAGAATCTGGAGGATGAGGGTAAATAGTACAGAAAACAGAGTCTTTAAGTACCATAAGAACCTTGAGGATTAGGAGAAATTGTACAGGCACAGGAATCAAAGTACCATAAAAACCTTGAAGATGATCTGGAGTACATCATAGACCCTGTGCATGTGATGTCAGTAAAAGAGTGGTAAGTGGATGAGCGGAAATACAGTAGTACAGGCACAGGAGTCAAGGTAACATAAGTACCTTGAAGATGATCTGGAGTACATCATAGACCCTGTGAATGTGATGTCAGTAAAAGAGTGGTAAGTGGATGAGCGGAAATAGTACAGGCATAGGAGTCAAGGTAACATAAGTACCTTGAAGGTGATCTGGAGTACATCATAGACCCTGTGCATGTGATGTCAGTAAAAGAGTGGTAAGTGGTGGGGAGGAGTAATGATTGCAAAATTGTGAAAGATTATCTGGTTGGGTGTATGTAGCATTGTAAAGCTTTGTCCAGGCTATCAAATTTTATTTGACAAAAACCTTTGTATGACCATATATAGTCATGATGTGCCTATATTTGGTCATGGTGTGATGTCATCATGACCATATTTAGGCACGTCACATGTTTTTGTCAAATAAAGGTTCGATAGTCTGCACAGGGCTAAAAAATTAAATTTTAATAGTTTTTATGAAGGATGTTCATTAAAAACTAGAGGAAAACATAATATAATTTAATATTAAAAAATATCTATCTAGGTCTGTTGGCGGCCATTACTCTACCAGCTGCAGCTTATGGCGCCCTCTCAGCAATCGATAACCCTTGGAGTATTGTCACAAGAAGATCAGTTGAAACGGGAAAAGAATTGGCCGAAGTTCTTCTTACAAGACTACAGGTAAGAATACTGAGAACTCGCTCTTGCAATATATTTAGTAAAAAAAGTCAATCAAACAGTCTCCTTTGATCTCCAGGATCTCCTGTATAGTACGTTCATATGTTTTTACTGTATTAATAGGCACGTTTAGACGAGTCAGATGTAACCTTTGAAATAGCAGTTTAATTGTCGTAGGTCGTCAGTAGTGCCCGTAAAGATGCAGTCTCAGAAGTAAGTGTGCTACTTTCGAGTACACAGGAACGTAAGAAATACGCGCTCAGAATTTTGCCTTGTAGACGTACTTACTTCAGAGCTTGCAAGTAAATGCGACCATTATTTGGAACTCAAAATTTTCAAAAGATAAATTTTCAGGGTTCGAAATAACGCTGGTCCGCCGGCCAATGGCTAGTAAAATGCATGGCGGACCTGTTAATTATCCCAATAACAAGTCCGCGTGACCAGTTAAAATGTCAATGAAAGTCTGACGAAATACCTAAAGCTTAATTCATTCACCTCTTAACGATGTCTTTACAAAATATTTCACACAGATAATGTCAACAAGATCGCTATTTTCTGTTTATTGTCATGTTAATGTCCGCTACGAACAGCCTTGGGCTCAGTCATTCAAGGCAAACCGATGAACATCACGCACTAGCCTAGACCATGGAGGAATCATCCATGGCTAGACGTACAGACAGAGGGAAATCACCTTCTCCGCATGTTATAGCGACAATAAGAAGTTGATTTCCGTCTGTGTAAGCACTGTGACGTTAAAACATCCATGTCATGTATCCATCCCACAATGCAACGTGGGACAAAAAGTTAATAAACAATGCAACGATTTCCAGACGAAATAAAGCAATAATCATACCCTGTAAATGAACCGTTTGTACAGTCCCAATAGCATTGCCATGGAGATTATCTATGAATTAAAACGACACACCAGTAAAATGTTAGATAAAGCAGGGAGTTGGATAAAGTCAAAGTTATGCCTTCCATTGTTTTAATAAAGTGCATTATCGCCTATGAATACTTAAAAATCGACTGTAATCAACCTGAAATGAAAAAGAAACTCAAAGCAATTGTTTCTACGACGGCTCTTTTTCAGTAGACGTTTAATTCGGATTTGGTATGTCATTAGATTCATATATCAGTCTACAGTCAAAAACATTGCTAATTTCGGATCGAATTTGCACAGAATGAAATTTTAATTTGTTAGATTTATTTTTAGATTTTACTCTAAAACAAAACCACGAGGGTTTCTTATTCATTTTAATAAATTTGTTTAATTAAAAATTTATCGGTTTACACTAAAGCTTGTTCCTGTCAGCAAGCTGTCACGCACTATGAAACTTTGGGCGATCTGACGTCACCACAGCCAAGCACATGGGATTTTTGCCCAGCAACATGATCCCATGAAAAAAATTAACCAATTAGCGGGCAGAGTTTAGGAGGTGCGACCTGATATTTACAACAAGTTGCATCGTGACCACGAAGAATGTGTTGTGTTTACAATTTAGAAAAAAATTTCAGAAGGAAAATGCACGTAAAAACAATATAACAGCATTCATTTTATTGGTACAGTAATACAATTGGCTGTGCACTACAGCTAAACAACAGGCACTGCACGTATTATATATGTTAAATGTTAACTTTTTTCGTAGGCTAGTCATACCGAATTCACTGGGCTATGCTGCTAAGCCTATTTTTAGCGTCTAAGCCTAGGCCTGCCTTATTCGGAAAGGATTCAATAGAAATGTTCCACAAACCTATCTCTCCGGAAAACCGAACATCATAGCGAACATCGTATTGTGAGAGTGCACTGTACATACAAATAGATTCCTGTATTTATATTTCGCGGCATAATTTATGGTATTTGGGCCTTCCGAAGTTGGCAAGATAGTGGCTAGTGAAAGGGATTGAGGAACAGTAAAAATATTAATTTACTGGTCCACTTGGCTATTTAAAAAAAGCCTTAAGGGAAACCCCTGTAAATACTTAATAATGAGTGCCAAAATAGAATTTCCTGTGATGTTTGAACTTTGTAGACACACTGTTTTCATAATTGTTTACAACTTCAAGAATTTTTGTGCAAAATACCCGCTGAGAGACAACGAAAATGGTGATTATCACTTCCGGAAAAAATTTGACCATCTTTTAACTGGTTTTGAAGTAAAAATGACTATTATGCCGTGGGTAAGCATTGTGTGTATACACTTCGGAAGTAAAAGCACATAAAATTTTACGTTTGTCTTAACATACAACTATTAATATTTATGACTTCCCTGAAGTTAGCTTGTGAAGGGTATTGCCATGATAAGCAAAATACAATAAGGTATATTAGATCTTCTGGTGATCAATGCCTTCATAATTTTTACTACTGTATTAATAATTATTATTTGAGGCTGGAGAGGGGTATGATGAAAAATTGAAGAGGTACTAGGCTGAAAAATAAGGTGATATGAGGTGATTCTTAACTACTTGAGCGTGATTTTTTGTTTGACATTTTCAATAGGGGGAGGTAGGGTGACTGGGGTGGGGTACAAGCTTTTTTTTGAGGGGAGAGGGGGCATGTACACCTAGATACACCACTGTAATAGCATCACTTGATGTTGTAATTTAGTTATCATAATTGGCGGGTAGATGTAGATGTCAGCACTAAAGAAAGTAATCCTCTGGCCTAAAATTGTTTTCTTATGTAATCATACAGTAATCTGAGTCTGGTATAATTATTTCCAGTGTTCACTATCAAAAAACTAGACAAAAGTTCTTTTAATCAATCTATGCTTTTGTAACCAATTAGAGGGTAACTTATATGTACCTTGTACATTTCATAGAGCTAACAAGTATAATATTCACCGGTTTTACATAAAATTATGATTATTGTTTTCAGGGTAAACGTCCTGTTACCCTTATTGGCTTCAGTATGGGTGCAAGGGTGATTTTCTCTGCCCTACAGGAATTGGCAGTTCGTAAAGGTGAGTTAATTTTCATGTTCTAAGTGCATGATAGCCATTATTTAACCTCACATCTCAGCTGATAAAAAAGTTAGCGTATATTCTTGCATATAAAATATAAGAAAAGACTTGAAATAGAAAATCGCAACAGGGGGTAGTCTTATATGCACAACACATTCAAATTTTTGTTTTTCTTAGGTGTGAATCATCCGTCACACGCGAATTTACTACTGAAATGAAGCTATGTTACAATGAATGAACGCAATTTTAAATGCAGGGGGAAATAAGATTTTGTTGAATGTTTAGAAGCTCATAAAATGGTACTATTTGAAAAATTAGCCCTACATTTGGCTCCATTTTTAGCCAGCTAGATGCAGTATCAAGTTTCATTCTACATCCAGTGCATTAGGATGAACTGTATGAATATACTGAAATATATCTTTAAATTGTTTCTTTGTCTTCACAGGCTCTGAAGGAATTGTAGAGGATGTTGTTTTGCTAGGAGCTCCAATTACATCATCTGTGAAGGCATGGCAACCGCTTGAAAGAGTTGTATCTGGTAGGATCATTAATGGCTACTGCAGGTAAAGATGCAAGTTTTTTTAATGTCGGTCTGTGTTTAGGGCAGTAATTAGCATAAGAACGTGGCAGTATTGTATACTTCAGCACAGAGAAGACAGAATACTCATAACTTTGGCAATAATAAGTCGATTCCAGTAAATGACCCTCATATTCAAGCTTACAATGTGGAGAATAAGAATATATTAAAAAGTCAATTTTTCATTTTTTATTGTCACTCATGATGCTTTTAGAATGGCAAGCCTCATATGTCTGTTGAATCAGCCAATGACTGTCACTTACATATAAGAAAGCAATACTATTTGCTATTGCCAATCTTTGGCCTTTATTCTTTAAATATTAAATCCCAGTGTCAATTTATATGCTTAATAGAAACAAATAATTGTTATAATTCACCAGAGGTGACTGGCTCCTGCAGTTTGTATACAGAACGGCATCTGTGCAAGTGACCAATATTGCTGGCCTAGGACCAGTAAACTGGGACAATAAGCTGGTGGAAAACATTGATTTAACAGATATAGTAAGAATAAAGTTTTTTCCAATCTGTTCATTTTTCATTAGTTAAATGTTTTAATTTAACAGTATTAAAATAAATTCATTAGTCATATAACGATATTGTCACACTAATGTTGTATTTTCACCTAGAATTTGATTAAAATAAATCATTTAACGTGTTGACTGCCAGACTTTTTTAAAGTTTTTTTCCCGTGTGCCAAAACAAGTAAGTTTACATGTACAAACATACTTTCTTGAAATTTTATCTAGTCACTTATCAAAATGATGTGTCTAATAAATTGTTATCGTCTGGGTGTATCTTCCCCGAACTACCAGCCATTGAGTCTGTGGTTCTACAATGTATAATAAAGAAGTTTGAAACGCTAGAATGTTACAATTATTTTGATGAGTATACTCGTCCCTGGCGCCCTCAGCAACAACCTGTGGGCGAGTATACTCGTCGTCGGCACCCAACGTGTTAAAAGATTATAGTAATATATAAAAACGTGATGTTATCTGTTGGCAAATACTAAAAGTTTTTTGAGTTATAGTGTGTATTGAGTTATAGAATGTTTATTTACTGTTTTGCTATTTTAATTGTGTTTGTTAAATTTGGTGACCCACTCGACAGAGATCTAGAATCTATTTTGGGAAGCCAACCTCCTTTTTTTCTGTTCTTTTTTCGTCTGTATTTTTTGTATTTTTAATGAGGCGAATATTATAAATTGAAATGAAAATTAAATAAAGAATAACTGAGACTACGTGTGAAAAGGCTAATACAAAAGCCAATATTCTTTTCAGAACTACAGTATCTACGTGGTGTACCGCAAGCATTAATATATATTATTACTTCGCCACGCAAACCTTCAAACAATATCACTAGAGTAATTAGAAAATGCTTCTGACCTTTGACATTTATTCTTATTATGCAGGTGGGTGGTCATCTTGATTATTCAGAGAAAATTGATGAGATTCTTAAACACATTGGACTCAAAACAAGACCTCGAAGCACGTCTCCTCTGTTACGGGAAACAGGGGGTGCAATCGAAACTAAAGAAGACTCTATCAAAGTTGATGTCTGTGATCTCCTTCTACCGCAGTCTCAGACGGTCACAGAAATGATGGCAGGGGTTCCCCGCAGTGGATCTGCCAACAGCTTCTTAAACGATTCTGACAAGAAATCCGGAACTGGATCCGAGATTTGTAAATCAGCAAGTTTCCCTCATATCACGAATTACAATGCGCATTCAAGTGAAAGCCAGAGGGTGCGACCATCAGAAGGCAGCAGCAATGTGCAGAACAGTGAAACTTCAGAGGATGTGGAGTGTGGCCATGATCCAATGATGCAGTTGTGATGATAAAACTTTGTAATGTGTAATTTTATAATGACAATTTGGAAATGGTTGATTATAAACACTGTACACCATAGGCAAATCCAAGGGTGGGCCCAATAAATAAAAATGGAAATGGGAGTGCTATAGACATAAAATCTCATATCTTAGCCCCAACCATGATGGGGCTGAGGTGGTCTGGACATTCCATATCTAAAATTGACCTTTCTGGGCCCCTCTATTTTGAATTCCTGCATCTTCCACTGTAAATGCATTCTGGGGCACAGTAGGAAATAATGATATACAGTACTTGTGAACTGTTGATATTGGCTTTACAGTCATGATATTTTCATTACATTTAATGCTTTACAGCCATGAATATTCATTGTGGTACTGTATGAATATTATGCCAAAGTTAATTAAAATTGATTTCCATAATTAAAGCACTTGTGGAACTTAAATGGCCTAATCTTGATCAAATGCTCAACATTAATGAAAATATCACAATGTACAAAATAATGAATGACTTAGCTCCTAATTATTTAAAAAATAGATTTATTCAAAGAGAAAGTAAATACAACACTAGGTCAAATGACAACCTTAACGTACCCAAGCCAAGAACGGAATATAAAAAAAGAAGTCTATGTTACTGGGGGGCTCTTTTGTGGAATAATTTAGACAGCAATATAAAAAATTCAAGCACACTAGAACTTTTTAAAAGAAACATAGTAATGTAATAACCATTAGTATGTATTATATATATTTGTTTTTTCTTTGTACTAACACTTAATTATTTTAATCTAACACAATTATTTTGTTTAATGTCCATACGGCCTCGTGGAAGAACACCCACTTGGGTGAACGAGTTTTTTGACCGTTATAAAATAAAGTTGTTATTATTATTATTATAGACATAAAATCTCATATCTTAGCCCCAACCATGAAGGGGCTGAGGTGGTCTGGACATTCCATATCTAAAATTGACCTTTCTGGGCCCCTCTATTTTGAATTCCTGCATCTTCCACTGTAAATGCATTCTGGGGCACAGTAGGAAATAATGATATACAGTAGAACCTCGTTTTTACGTACCCCAGTTATACGAACCCTCGGTTTTACGTACGCCTCGTATCGACGATGACATCAAAAAACACGAAAATAGTCAAAACAAACAGCCCTTTTCAGAGCAACCATAAGTAAAAAGACTTTAACAATAAACTATAACAATAAACAAACCATAATGCAACATATTTCCATTAAACAGCAATGTTGATGGAGTCTAATACCGGGTTGTTATAATCTGGATGAACAACTACAGATGGTGCTCAAAATAATTGCTTTCCTCCTTAGCTTCGTATGGCAAACCATGGGAAAACTTGTCTGGTCGAATTTTCTACACGAAGCTGGGTAGACAGTTTCGTACACGAACGCTAGTTGGTTGGCTCACCCAGTGGATTGCACATGGTTGCTGTTTCACGTACACGAACGCTAATTGATTGGCTCGCCCAGTGCAGCGCACATGGTTTTAGTTTGTCTCAACACGCCTAGACAACACCACAGCTCTGTTGTTTAAAATAGGCATGAAGGGGAATTCCCAAGTTATACCTTTGTCGTATAGATAATCTTACAATATTTTCATGTTCTTTAGTTAAATAAAAGATATAAAGTGATGAATTAATACGCTAGCACATGGTTTTATTTGAACACTTTATTATGACATCGTAAAGTGATGAATAAAAACACTAAACAAATGGTTTTATTTGTAGGCCTAGAGTCTAGGTCTAGCCTAGGTAACATCATTCGTTCATAATCATACATACGTTTAATGAGCGTTACGTACGTATTAGGTCAAAGGTTACCACAAATTTAACCCAACCTCTATTTAACGAATCCCCCGATTTACGTACGCCCTCCGGTCCTGTACCGTACGTAAAATCGAGGTTCTACTGTACTTGTGAACTGTTGATATTGGCTTTACAATCATGATATTTTCATTACATTTAATGCTTTAAAGCCATGAATATTCATTGTGGTACTGTATGAATATTATGCCAAAGTTAATTAAAATTGATTTCCATAATTAATCTTCAAGATGAGAGTCTTCCAAACACCTTGGCTAGGATTAACTGCAGCATTGTGGTATACATTATTTTGCTATGACATAATTGATAAGGATTTGATAGTAGAGGTAGTTGTATGCAGTGGCATACATACTAGGAAACATTTTCTGGGGAGGGGGGGCTAAGCTGTCCGACAGGGGGAGGAGGAGTGTTTTGGAGTGTTCCCCCTCCCAAATGAAATTTTAAAAAAAATTAGGGACCTCTGGATGGCCAGAAATGGCATTCTATGACTGTGAAAGACATGTTTTGGCTTGGTGTAGACCTATTTGAAAATTTTGTTTTTGTCTGACTACCCGACGAGCTCAGCCGGTGGGGAGGGGGGCTTGACTTGTCCAATGGGGGAGGGGCCTTAAGCCCCTGCCCCCACTGGCACCACCACTGGGTGTATGTGTGGTCTTTTGGTCTTCACCACTGTCTGTATGTCTGTCTGTTAGCAGGATTATGCAAAAACATCAATAAATTTAGTAGAATGGTACATAATTATCCAAGAAAGAGATGATAAACTTTTGGGAAGAAAGGTCAAGGTCACAGAAATTCCATTTTTTATTCTTGCGTATAAAAAAATGAAAATAATGGAATCGCTCCTCATACATGGCCTTTGTCTTGTTCTGTGTTCAGGCACAGGGTAGAGTAGATTTACCCTAAGTTTATTATTTATTGATTTTTCATAGTGGTGGAAGTTCCAGTAAGTTTGTAAAGTGTAATTAAGTTCAAGGTACAAGTCTAGTTAAGATTTGGTTTAAACAATTGTTTGATTCGTTAATTTTAAGTCATTTTTGTTTTTTATATTTCTTCGTTTCTTTTGATTTTCTGGTTACTGTAATATTTGTGTATACACAGTCTTTCAGAATAACAACTGTCAGTTTAGCCAAGTTTCTGTGTTATAAATAAAGTTATCATACTGGCTGTGATAAGCTAAAAAAACATAAAAAAATATAATTCAATGTTTGAATTAAATATATCATTGCAACCCAGACCAAACCAGACCATTATAGCACAGGCTTCAGTCTGAAGAAGTTATAATTATAATAAATTTAACTTGGAACCAGATGAATTTTTTCAACACTATATCATTATAGTTTTCAACTGTAAATTAGAACGAAAAGAAAATTTTCATCACCACTAAATAGATTTGAATATATTTTTTTGCATAGACTTTAAATTTGCTGGTAATCAATTTAAGGGGGTTTTGTATTAGAACCAGTGGTGGGGCCAGCAGCCGGACAGGGAGGGCATAATAATTTGCCTATCCAAATAACGTTGTTTTGATTGCCAAATCCCTAATATTATGGTCTACAATACACATGCCATACTGCCATAACAACTCTCCCGGTCAACCCTACTAAGGTTGTGTTTTCTGGGACCCTGGTCAGGACTGTAGTCAGCCCCTTGGTTCCGACCCATGTCGGCACATTTCTGGGGGTCACCACTGGTTAGGATGTGTAAATCAGTAAAAACTGGATTATTTGTATGTCTTTTACTGAAAGATAATAACATAACTTGATTATTTTAAATAAACAGTTCCATTTTTTAATTTTGAGAATTTCCTATCAGACAATATATTTTTACTTTCTGATTATTGTGCATATTTGCCTTGAAATAAGAAAGCCGTGCCCTGATTTGAATTGCTTTATAAATTTATGCAAGTTGTTAGCTTTAAATTTAAAATTCAAAACAAGAAATGATATTCTTAATCTAAGAACAGGTGCTTTGATATCAGAGGAAAGATCCAATAGGGGTGGGGGAAGGCAAGGGGAGCACATCACCCCTCCCCTGTTTTGCCACTATATTTTAAAATTTCAGTACATATGGTGCCATGTATTTAAATAAGACAAACTAAAAAACAAATACGTTTCCCCCCCCCCCACATGGATTCAATAGGGGGAATGAAGAGAGCACATACCCCCACTTGTTTTGCACACTATATTTGAAAATGTCATTACATACAATGCCATGTATTAGAATAAGACAAACTGAAAAACAAATACATGTCTCCCTCCAATATAGGACCACTTTTGGGACCCGGGTTCCATGGTCTTTAGCAGCTTTGGTTTCTAATTAGAATAATAAAGATAAAAGAGATTGGGACCACAGAAAAGTGGTCTTTAATTAGAGGGAGACTGTTACGTATAGAATTACTTTTCCTGGTAATCAATTTAAAAATCAGCGTAAACTAAGTTGTTTTGATCTGTATCTTTTGATTCTTATAATTATATTTTTTATAATTTACTAAGATTTTTTAAAGAGGCCAAGTGAGAAGCACCCACTATTGCTACTCACAGCAGTGCTAACTCACACTAGTGCTAACTCAGTCTTCCATACTGTTTTTAATCATTGCCAATTATTTTTATATAAAGTATATATTTCATTTAAAATTGTCAGATTTTGCTATATTCTTGAAGAAAAGTTTATTGCTGTATTATTATTAAATGATTTGTCTTTATATTTACATTTGTACATCTTATAAATACTAGTCATATATTAGGCTAAAAATAGCTCAAAATCTGAAAAAAAAAAAAATTTCTTTTTACCAAGTAGACAAAAATACTCATGTTGTTTGAAAAGGTCATTTTAAAAGAATCATTTATTGGTTTTAGCCACGTGCTCACTTATTTACCAACCAAAGTGTATGTGATTCTTTGTAGTTGAATATGAATTCTGAAAAAAAAATGGCTAATTTAAAATGTTAGTGCTTAAGCTTTAAACAATTTTTAATACCTTAGTTATATTATATTATTGGTATTGTTATTGTTTTAGCAGTACTATGTTTTACTGTATGTGTTGTACTTTCTTCTTGTTCTTGTGTTGTTAGAAATGATATGAAGTGCCAATATTGTAGAGCCAAGTGAATATCGAAAGCTCTACTGATTCAGGGATGTGTGTGTGGAGACTTCCAAAGAGAGGCAGCCAAAATCTAAATTGGATCTATAACCATAGGATATATATAATTATATAATTATTATATTTTAAAAACTATAACAATTGCGATCATCTTTATCAAATGGATTTTTGCTCTAGGATGTTGATATATTATGTAAATGTAAACAGGAATCAAATCATTATTATAAAGATGTTTTTAAAATCAAAATTTGCTGTGTTACACTTGTCAATGGTAAACAAACATAATATGTCAATTTAGTTTGCTTTTTGTTCATCCAGTCAGGTATGTTAGTGTTTTTTTTTTTACTAATTTGTGTTGCTGTTTATCTGTTGTTTTAAATATGTTAATGTTTAAATAATGTTTACAAATGACAATTTATATTAAGTGGAATTTATGATTGTCATAGTTACAAAATATGGTTTTCT